TTGAAGCTTCGATTGGCCGAACTAGAGGATTGTAGTCAAGAAGCCCCGACTCCAAGAGAAGCTTGTCGGTGACCAAGGTTCTGATCTTCCTGCCCTTGGGGAAGTTCTCCTTGTAGAACTTGAGTGTGTCGAAAGTGGCTTGATCGACCTCGGGGATCGGCTTGATCGACACTGCACAAAGTAAACAGGAAGTTAGAGTTAGATATGAATACCAAGAAACTAAAATAAAAAGAAAGTAAGGAAGACTTCGTACCTAGGTTCCCAAACCTAGCAGGCACGTCAAAAAAGGCACGACCTGATTCGTCCTTTGCCAGCCACTCTCCAGAGGCAAAGAACCACTTGCCTACCCATCCTTTGATGGAGGTCGGCCCCTTAACTATGCCACCCGCGCCCTTCCTTGTGCACATATAGTACCGACCTGGTTTTTTGGCTATCCCTTAGCCTCAAAACACCCAAGAAGCTAGTCGACACTTAGCAACTCGGCCTCGTCCTCATCCCGAGCTCGCAACCAAAAAAGAATGGCTAAAGCAAAAATGACACCCCACCCATTGGGGGCCACTTGAGCAGGAGCCAGTCCAGTTCAGTTTAAGAACTCCTGAGCAAAGGGATGAAGGGGAAGTCTGAGGCCGTACTCAAACATCTTCAAATAAAGAGTGACCCATCCCTCTGGAGGATTGTCAGCTCTTTCCCCTTCCTCCGGAATCCTAAGGAGAATGTTATTCGGAATGTTAAACCCCCTATGAAGGGGTCCAAGGTAGTGCTCGGGCATCCTAGAAGGGTACTTCAGACCCTGGCCCGAGGTGGATGTATCGCTATCCTCTTCATCGTCTGAGAACCTAAAGTTCTCTATTTCTTCCAGCTCAGACTCTAACCTACGAGCTAAGACCTCCCGAGAGTCACTTGGCTTGGGAGGCGAACTGCTTATTGTCCGACCTACACTACCCAGGCTATCGCTACTGGAGGGGGAAGATAAGAAAACTACCATGTTTTGAAAGAAGAGTAAGAGCAAAGAAGAGTGACTGACCTAGAGAGAGGGTTCGAGCTGGTTTCAGATCGAACTCCAGAAATTCAGGAAACGTAAGGTTTGACCTGAAGTTTCGGGACTATTTATAGCTAATAGGAAAAACCTCTGCGCCGTACACGTGTAATCAACGAGCGGCTAGGATCTCCACGGGATACGCAACGGCGAAACGCTTGAGTACTTCGACAACCTGGCAGGTCGAAACGTATTCCGCAACGGTCATATTCCCTCTACAAATAGAAAGTCGCCACGTGTCCAAAATAGATTCGAATGAACTTCTCTGTCAGTTTGAGATCGAACCTAACAGAGAGGGGGCCAATGTTTGGGGGTAAACTTACCCAGGACACGTGGAGGACCATTATTCGTGTTTGAAGAAATTAAATAAAAAAGGATTGCTTAGGTCTACTTCGGCCCCGCCGAGGTGACCGGGTTTGCCCCTTAAAAGATGAAGTATGGGCACCAAAGTTCGACCTGACTGTGGTCCGACCTGCTCGGAACCCGACAGGTCCGATATGAGAAAAGACATGTAACCGCCGGTCGTGTGTGCTGTCGGGCCCATTACCTATAAATAGAGGAGTTCATTTCACGCTCAGGTATCGAATCTCACCTYGAACTAAATAAGGAGTCCGATCTATACTGACTTGAGCGTCGGAGTGTTCACCCTCTTRTGCAGGTCCACTCTAGGGTTCATGTCGGAACCGGAGACCGGGTTCGAGCTCGATTCGTGAAGAACCGTTGTGCAGATTCCTGCATAAACAATATTGATATGTTTTAGTTGAGTAATTATATTTTAATTAGTAATTATTTATTTATATTAAATAGTTTATTAAAATAAAAATGTCAAATAAAATAGTATAAAAATAAATTATTATCTTAAATAAATAATAACTAACTAAAATATAATTACTCAACTAAAATAGTATCAAAATAAATTATTATTTTAATTAAAAATAATACTAACGTACTATTTAGTTAATTATTTGTAATTATCAAGAAATAAGAAACTAGTATCCTAGTCTAATACTAATTTCATTTGTAGGCTGTTTTAATGAACAATATCAATATTTTTTTATTTTGATTACAGTAAATTTCTAGTAAGCAATATTAAAGAAATAAGATCATTATGCTTCGTTTTCGTTTCGGGGCATTAATTCTTTAAATAATTCTCAATTTAAGTTTGAATCTATTAAAGTCTTAATTCTGCTCCGTGATGTTTAAAAAATTCTCAATTAGGCTATTTGAATACATAGACATGCAACTTAGATGCTATTTGACTATAATATTCAAACTTGTTTATCTTCAAAATCTGACCCACTCATCAACAAAAAAATATTTTTTTCAAGTAGCACGTTATATCTAAGTATGTTAATAAAATAATAATTTAATGAAACATAACTTTTTTAAAACAAATTTTAACAATTTTTTTTTTACAAACAAAATTTTAACAACAAATTTATTGGGAAAATCATTTGATCGATTATTTTCAAACATTAAAGGTAGATTTGGTTATTTTAAATGAGAATTGTTATTTTATAAACAAGAAAACTTCGAAGTGGTATAGGAGGAATAGATTATTTGCGAAAACAAGCTCGTAATATATAATTATTCATTTATATAAATATATATTAGAACTGAACTATAGATTTTATAAAATACGAAAATATTATTCAAAACACAGGGTTTTCTTTAATATTGTTGTAAATGAAACTTATTTTAAAAATATAGTTGTTTAATTAAAAATATCAAAAATATTGTAGATTTTGAAATTTATTTTAAAAATATTGTAGTTTTAAAAAACTGAAAGTTGGTCGTTGCCACGTAATTTTTTTAAAATTTGAACGTGGTCGAGAGACGACCATGTGGGATGAAGAGACGACTATTCGGTCGGTTCATTTCTGAAAAAAAAAATATAATTTTTTATATTATATATTATTCAATAGTTTTAAACTTATTATTTAAGAAGTTTTTTACATTAAAACTACTAAATAATATATAATATAAAAAATTATATATATTTTTTCCAGAAATAAACCGACCCGATAATCGTCAAATTTTTTAAAAAATTTACGTGGCGTCCGCGTGGCGCCACGTCTAAATGGTCGTCTCTTGAAGAGACACGACCAACCTTCAATTTTTAAAACTACAATATTTTTAAAATAAATTTCAAAATCTATAATATTTTTAATTAAACAACTATATTTTTAAAATAAGTTTCACAACAATATTAAAAAAAAACCTTCAAAACACTCCCATGCAGTTTTTACTGTATTAAAAAGAGTTATTTTTTAAAAATAAATGATTTTAAAATTAGCTTACTTTTCATCTTGTGACACGTCACGTTCCACATTGGGATTTCCAAAATAAATAAATAAGGACCATTATCAATATTCATCGTTGAAAAGAAGAGGCTACGAGGGAAGGATTTGAACTAAAGTTTCGTGATGAAAGAGAATATGGTATTAATACATCTAAATGTGAGAATTTATCCTCTAAAAATGAAATATTGAATGACTTGATCTTAAATTATAAGATTTTGTCATTTCTTGAGAAATTGGGGTTTTTGACCCCACCAATAGTTCAAATTGGATAGATGAACCCCTTTAAAAAAAAACTTAATTTTTGACCCCACCTCTACTTAATTTTGAATCCACCTTTAGTGAAAAGACAAATATACCCTTATTTATGATAAATTAACTTCCCCATTAACTTCCACCCAACCATTTCACCAAACTTTTAACCTCATATTTTACTTATGTTTTGAGTTTGAAACAATCCAAAATTTTCACACCATCCAAACTCCTCATAGATCACGTTTTTTTTTTTTAATCCGGGAAAGAAACATTGCCACGTGTTTGATCATTGTCCCCACACTATCTAAAATCGTTGTCCCCACATTTTCACATTTGAAGAGTTAGAGGTACGTTAACATAAAAATTTCTGAAATGATTTGAAATATTTTCCATTCATACATTTTCACTTGGCTTCTTGGAAAAAGAAAAAAAAATGCAGTCGGTATCCCGGACCAAGTATTGTTCCGAGATTGAAGCTTTGAGATCCGGGATTGAATGTACAATCCCAGATCGAAAGATGGTTCGGGAGTGAACCGAGATACATCCCGGACCAATCGAAGCACTGTGGTCCGGGATATGTCTCGGACCAAGACTGGTCCGGGATGACATGTATTTTTTTTATTTTTTTACCACTTTTTTTGGACGATATTCTTATCTCACTTGATTTTATCTATTTGCAGGATGCCTCGTGTTTTCATAACATTTGGTGGAGAATGGAACGATAGTGAAAAAGATTACGTTGGTGGTCGCACGAGAGGATTGACAGTGGATAGTACAACCATGTACAGAGAATTTCTAGGTCACGTGTATAGATTGAGTAATATAAACCCCCTTCAGTTCGATATTATAATTAGACGCGTATATCATTTTAAAACTAAAGTTTGTGTAATGGAGATAATTGATGACGATGACCTAAATTTTTTTTTAACTGGTAAAGATGTTTCTGAATTGCCTATATACATATCTACTACGCCAAAGCAGGTACATGAGAATGAAACGTACATGCCTTCTTTCCCATATCATGTAGGCCAAAACGTGTCCTCGAGTTGTATGCCCACAGCTTGTATTCCCCCATTCCAGAGACCCACAAATTCGGTACATTCATTTCCTTCCTCATCATCGAACCCCTCTTCTTCCCAACAACCACACCCCTTTTACGGGCATTTAGGTCATGATATAGCGGGTTTAACACCATTGGAATCAGATGTTGTTCCATGTAACCTAGGAGATGACAGGTTATGTGATTGGAATGTGTCGGGATTATTGAATGATAATCAAGATGAAAGTGATGAATCATATGACCCGTTGGGAGAGTCAGAAGAAGAACACTATGAAGCAGAATTTGTGAATGATGGTCTCACTGGACAGCCTAATGATGAGATTCGTAGGATGAAGCAGCGGTCCAACAAATGGGGTGTGATGGTCTCACTGGACAGCCTAATGATGAGAAGTTGCAATTCATGGTACAGTCTTCTGGAACAAATGATGTTAAGGAGGGCGAAGTATTTGATATGAAGAAGGAGTTGAGTTTGAGAATGCATTTAGTTGCAATGCGGCTGAATTTTCAGTTTAAAGTAAAAAAGTCGACACCGGAACTATATATACTACGTTGCGTTGATACTAGTTGCACCTGGAGACTTCGAGCTACAAAGCTGAGGGACTGCAATATGTTCAAGATAAAAAAATACTATAGCATCCATACATGCAACGGTGGAGTTTTGAAACAGGATCATAGGCAAGCCAAAAGTTGGGTGGTCGGACATCTTGTCCAAGCGAAGTTTACAGACGTCTCCCGCACGTATAGACCGAAGGACATAATACAAGACATGAGAAAGGAGTATGGTGTGAATTTAAGTTATGACAAAGCTTGGCGGTCCAGTGAAGAAGCACTTCGACTTATTAGAGAGGATCCAGCATCGTCATACGGTCTACTATCAGCTTATGGTGAAGCATTAAAAATCATGAACCCAGGTACTATTTTCGAATTGGAACTGAAAGATGGAAAATATTTCAAATATGTCTTTATGGCTTTGGGTCAATCGATTAGAAGGTTTCTGGCTTGTATTCGACCAGTGTTGGTTGTCGACGGGGCCCATCTAAAATGGAAGTTCAGAGGGGTATTGTTAACAGCTTCTGGTGCGGATGCGAATAACCAGATTTACCCTGTTGCATTTGCTATTGTCGACGGTGAGACTGTAGCATCATGAGTATGGTTTATGACTCAATTAAAAGGTGCGCTCGGCGTAGTGAACAATTTGGTTTTCGTTTCTGATAGACATCACACCATTTGTAAGGCAATTGACAAGGTATTTCCCACTGCATTTCATTGCTTTTGTATACAACATATTAAGATGAACTTGTTAGCAAAATTTAAAGTCGATGCAAAGGCAGTCGAGGAACTATTTCTAAAAGCTGCGAAAGCATATCGAGAGTCTTATTTCAACTCAATCTGGGCTCAACTTGGTGCGTACCCTGGTGCGAGGGAGTATCTGGATGACATTGGAAAGGAGCGTTGGGCTCATTGTTTCCAAACAGAATTGAGGTACACACAGATGACCAGTAATAATGCGGAGTCCGTGAATGCCCTCTTTAGACACACGCGTAGGTTGCCAGTAACTGCGTTATTGGACCATATCAGAGGTCTGTTACAGACTTGGTTCTACGATCGACGGACGCTTGCCTCTTCCCGATCAACCACATTGTCCGACTACGCAGAAAATAAGCTTGCTGAATACTGGGACAATGCCAGGAGACACGTTGTAGTGAACATCGACCAGTTTCATGTCCAGGTACGTGATGGTAACCTTGACGGGATTGTTGATTTCAACTCTAGGACATGTAGTTGTCGGGAGTTTGATTATTTTAAAATTCCATGCTCTCATGCTATTGCTGGGGCGATGATGCGAAACATAAATCCGTACATTTTGTGTGACGAGGCATACACGACGAACTCCTGGGTAATGGCTTATGCAGAACCAATATTTCCAATTGGCCACGTCTCAACGTGGAAAAGTTCTCCAGATTTTGTCGATACACCGGTAGAAGCACCAGATATGGTTCCTAGAGTTGGCAGGAGGCGGACGGTTAGGATTCCTTCCACGGGCGAGGTGCGCGAAACACGTAAGTGTGGTCGGTGTGGTACATCGGGGCACAATTGCAAAATATGTCATGAACCTCTTAACGCAGCGTGAATGTATGATGTATTGGTAACTTGTTGGTTTTTCATAAATTTGTATGGTAACTTGTACCCCAAGCAACCAACCATGCATGCATGCATTGGTAACCCTACGTGTTATATTATTATTATTATCATTATTAATGGGGAGATTGTATTTGAATGTGTCATTCATGTATGATGCTAGAATAATGAACCATGACATAGAAACAATATCGAAAATGCATACTATTCAAAAAATGGGACGACGCGCCCACATCTGTACAGCGTATTGACGCCTAAAATATACAATATTATCTTGGGTTAAAGTGTCCATATTTGACCCGGTGG